GCTGAATGCTAATCGTTGACAAAGAGAAAACGGCTAATATAGTTTCATATTCCATCATGATCAATTGAAAAATGAAAAGTCAATTATCATATAACATTTAGTAAATAATTAAGTCGGTGCGTCCTTTGTAGTATATTAGTCATTCTTGAGACAACAGCATGCGTCCAGACATTAAGGGCCAGGTAGATAGATGGTTTTTTTTTTTTTTTTTATTAGGGAAAAAAAAAAAAAAGAAGAAGAAGATGAATTTTGCGTTGGGAGGTTGGAGGGGCATAAGAAATGATGAAGGGTCACATGGTTGAGAGTGAGACGCACGCCCTAATCAGATTTAATGATGAAGGGCCGCCCGCTAATCAGCTGGCTGGTCCCGCATTTGTATCTACATAGCATGCACTTATAATCTTATTATATACGCCATATACGTGTAGAATTGCCACTCATCGTTTTGAGCATATTAATATTGTAAATATAGAATCTAGGACCCTTCGCAATTCGCATGCAGTGGCATGCACATGGGGCGTACGTGTCACCTAGCTATGGCATTTACTTTCCACCGAGAGTTTGATCGCTTTTTTTTTTTTTTTTTTTTTTTTTTTAGGGTCTTTCTATAGTAAGATCTTGTATACACTGATTTTACACGTTTTTATCGCTATACAGATTATGTAGTTTATGATACATAAGATATTGGTAGGGTTCTGTTTTTAATTCATCATATTTGATGAACTTATGTGTTATTATAAACTATGATGTATTAGAGGGAAGAGAAATGTTAACGTTACTATTTTTGTCTCTTTTTTTGTCACATTTTGCATTTGTTGTTTGACATGTAAACTCCACTAATATGATAAAAAAAATGAGATAGTAAAGTGCAGAATACATAAAGTAACAGAAAAAGTGACGCTAACATTTTTTTGGGAGAGACTCCAAAGTTTTTACTATTTTTGTTCATTGACTGTGATTCTACATCTAGTTATACTTTGACTACATGGATAGAATTAAATATAAAATATACTTTAAAGAATTAAATTAGGTATCAAATTTTAATTAAGGTGAAAGTCATTACGACGTGAAAATAAAACAATATATTTGGACTAGGGACTCCACATGTTATAAGGAGAATTGCAGCCGGTCCTAGAGAGAAACGAGAAAAAAAGAAAAGGAGAGAGTGAGTTGACCGAAATTTTGGGATTGCTTCTGAGCGCACCACCGAACTTTCGATCCTAAAATTTGGTCCCTGGATTTGTCTCGTTATTGTCTTCTACGTGGTGGTGGCAATATGTGGAGTGATACTTTCTTTAGATCTGACACGTTTTAGAAGTGGGGTGCCATTCATTTGGGCTGTTGTCTCTAACATGTTCGCCATATGGTGGGTGTGGTCCTTTGGCGTTTTGTTTCGTGCGGCAGTGGGTTTCTCGTGAAGGTGGTGTTTTCAATTGCCGATGGTGGTTGCGAATGGTGAGTTTCACTTGCAGTTTTATGTTGTTTGCTCGACCTTGTCGTATCTCCTTCAAAGTCTTATGCCCTTCCTGGTGGTGCTCTCACCAATTGACTCCTCACCAGAGTCGCTTGACAACGGGTCTTAGGGTCTTTTTGTGTTTATTATGTTTTATTTTTGGTGTGTTTTTACTACAATAACCGGGATTTTCACCCCGTTGTCTTTGTTTGTTTTTAGTGTATGTTGGACTGGTGTCTTGATGGTGTTTGGTATAACCTTAGTGCTACGATGTTTTGTTCCTCAATGGCTCAAAAGCTTATCTTGTTGAGAGGGATTTTATCAAATAGAGTCATAGGTGTGCTCGATCTTAGTGTGCTGAAGTATTCTCCTATTTTTTAGCTTCAGGTGTATGTCCGTTCCCTGCTAGGTCATTAGCCTTTTATTGTGTTTGTTATTTTGGTTTTATTTAAATGCAAGTTCCCTAATATATGAGTTTTTATTAAAAAAAAAAAAAGACTCTAACATGTTATGTGAGGTGCGCATAATGCATTTACATAAATACATGCGTTGTTTTTATTTGGTGAATATTTCTTGGTTCTTTTTGTTTCGATCGGTTGCCAAAAATGTAGTGTGGACAAAAATTTCGAACTGTAAACCATGAACGTAATAAATACAAATGATCCCATATGGAAAAAAGAGACTGTAGACAATAACCATCAAAGCTTCCAAACCATTTTATTTGTCCTGGCGATTTTTAGAAATGGGAAACATGTCAAGTGAGAACGTTTTAATTGTGAAAGCTATTTGTCAAACTTTCTCAAAAAAAAAAAAAAAAAAAGGGGGAAGATAGAACAACTTTGCAATGTTAGTAAGAAGTTGAGTTTTCACACTTAGCTATTCATCTTTATCATCTTAACACAAAATATGTCTAGATGCGAAGTGCACTCCTTAAAGTCTTGAAATACGGGCTAAAAGCAGTAAACATGCTTATTTTGAAGTGATTATCTTAATCACTAAAGCAATGCAGAACTTAACAAATTAAGGAGTTGTTTGGTTGGGGGATTCGTATCCCGATTCGAATTATGATTCATAGTTCGCTACAGTATTTTCTCTCACAAAAAATACACGTAAATCAAAAATAGTTCTAATCTCATAATTTTAATCAATGAACCAAACGTCTCCTAAGTTTTGAGTAATCCACACTAATTAATAAGCTAATCCGCCGGAATATTGCTACTTCCCCACCAAAATCTGGCATTTCTGTCTAATTGTCTCTTGAATTTTTGAATTTTTTGCCAAGTTGCGAGCTCTTTTCAGCAATTGGAGAAGGCGCCAACTATCCTCTACTTTTGATGTGAACAGTTATGTGTGTCTACAAAAGTAAGAAGCTTCCCCAATTGCCAAAAAGGTCAAGAAAAACGAAGGTTCACTATAAAATATTGCAATACAAAAACAAAGAAATAGCTCTTTCAAGAGGGGGAAAAAAAGGATGCGAAGAAATATGAGGGATATTTGAAATAAGAGGTTGGTTATCATCATTATCAATTTATCATCCTCACAATATTCTTTCACGGTATGAAATTGGTATCCAATGCAACCTCCTACTACAATAAACTTTTGATTTAGAAAAAAAAAAAAAAAAGGAAAAAGAGAAAAAAGACTGCGATACAGCTATACGTTTTTTAACTTAATTGGAAGTAAAGGTGAAAACATCAGTCAATAATTCATGCATGCATATAACATATTGGTTTTGGTAATTAAAAGAAAAAAAAAAAAGAAAAAAGAAAAAAAAAAGGGGGAACTGAGTGAGATTGTTTGCGCGTGTGGCTCGAGAGTGCATGGCTAGTGGCCCACATACAGTGCGGCCCACCGGGTTATATGGGCCGATGATCACGGGGATTAAGTGGGTCCCGCCACCCACGTTGGATGCTCCCACACACACTCTCTCTCTTCAAGATGGGATTGTGCTTTGTACCTACGAGCTTTTCCTCTGCATGTTGCCACTCGTGCCCCATGAAATCTTTCGTGGGGCTCACCGGATGCTCTCTAATCGCAGCCGTTCATTACGCCT